GTATATGGCAACAGATGTGATTTTGTGTATTATGTAAGAGTTCAGCTGCCATCTTTCTGGAATCTCCCTCTCTGTTGCTGGTTGTGAGGAAGCAATAGGTCATGTTAGAGAACCACATGTGGTAAGAAATTGCTGATGCCTAGAAGAGCAGAGAGCACCTTCTGGCCAACAGCCATTAAACAACTGAAGTTTTCAGTTCTAGCTGCAAGGAACTGAATGCTGCAAAGAACCATGTGAGTATGGAAGTGAATCTTTTCTGGGTTCAGTCTCCAGGTGAAAACTCTGTCCTAGGTGACACCTTGGCCTGGTGAGATCCTAAGCAGAGAGGACCCAGTCAAGCTGTGCCCGAACTCCTGACCCACAGAAGCTGAGATATTAAAGATTTGTTGCTTTAAGCTGCTAAAATTGTAGTAATTTGCTATATGGCAATAAAAAATGGATATTATTGATATAATGTTTAGGTTTAAATCTATCATCTTGTTATTTGCTTTCTCTTTATCCCATCTATACTTTGTTTCCCTGTTCTTCTTTTTCTGCCTTCATTTAGATTATTTTCTGTTTCATTTTACCCTCTTTGTTGGGTTTTTGCTATAAATCTTTATTTGCCTGTTTTTTTTTTTTGTGGTATGCGGGCCTCTCACTGTTGCGGCCTCTCCCGTTGTGGAGCACAGGCTCCGGATGCGCAGACTCTGCGGCCATGGCTCACGGGCACAGCCGCTCCGCGGCACGTGGGACCTTTCCAGACCAGGGCATGAACCCGTGTCCCCTGCATCGGCAGGCGGACTCTCAACCACTGTGACACCAGGGAAGCTCTATTTGCTCGTTTTTTTATCTTAGGATCTGCTTTAGAGTTAATTACATATCTTTATCACAGTCTACATTCAAGTTATGTTATACTGCTTCAAATATAGTACAATATCCTGTACTTTCACTTCTCCCCTTCCCACCCTTGTGCTATTATTGTCATTTATTTTGCTTTTACATGTTATAAACCTCATACGGGTTTTGTTTATAGAAGTAAAATATCTTTTAAATAAATCTAGAGAATAAGAACAAAATCTTATATATTTATCCATGTAACTGCTTTCTTTGCATGCCTTGTAATTTTTGACTGCATGCCAGACACTTTGAATTTTTTATTGTGACTACTGGATATATTTTTATTCCTATACATACTTTTAAGCTCTGTTCCGAGATGCAGTTACTTGGAAACAGTTTGAGCCTTTTGCCTCTTGCTTTTAAGATGTCTGTCAAGACTAGATCAGTGCTAAGTGTTGGAATAATTATTCTACACTGCAATTACCATCTGTGTACTCTACCCAATTTCTAGTCAATCTTGAAATTTTCCATTCTAGCTATCAAGAAAGGTTCCCTCTAATCATCTCGGGTAGATCAATCTTTTCCTGGCCTTGGGTAGTTTCCTCACATGCATACAATTAGTCACTGTACAGATACTAGAAGGGGACCCTCTGAAGATCTCTAGAATTCTCTGTGTAGCAATCTCTTCTCTAGTAACCAGTCCTGTTGTCTTAGTCTCCCCAGACTCATAGCTCTACTTCCTCAACTCAGTTAGTTCAACTGGCTCTGCCTGGATTCTCCCAACTTGTACCACAAGGTGGTACACAGCAATAAGATAGGGTAATACAGGGTTTATTTCACTTTCCCCCCATCTCTTAGGGCTCATTATACCTTCTTGCCTGATATCCCATGTCTTAAAAACCATCCTTTCATATATGTTGTCTATTTTTCAGTTGTTCTGGACAGGAAGATAATGTGGCTACTTTGTCTTAGCTGGAAGTGTAAGTCTTGAGTTATTTCTTAAGAAAAACAAAGGCTGACTGAGGGTTGAACCAAGAGTGCAAAGGGCAGAGCAAAGAGCCCAATGGAGTCATTCTCAAGAAGCAGGACTGGGGGGGAAAAAAAAAAGCAGGACTGGGGCCCTAATCAAGCAACTGGTAACATATGCTTGACTTAATTTTAGAATTACTAGTGAACAGTGACTAAAATGTGCATCAAGTTTTCCATCTTTTTCAATGAATGTTTCTACTGCAGTAACTATATACTTCTCTTACTACTGTATGTTTGATAGTGTGTGTGTGTGTGTGTGTGTGTGTGTGTGTGTGTGTGTGTGTGTG